TGGCTAATACAAAAGAAATTCATAAACCCAAACAACAAAAATTTACAAATTTCAATATTTATATTATAAATCACCTCAAAACCAATAAAATACAAATAAAAAATAAACAAATATACGCATATGTAACTACATGTTACTATAGTAATGTATAGTAATGTATACAGTTTGTTGAACACTGCATCACATGTGATTCAACCAAATTTTTGACACCTTCAAGGAGAAGAACAATGGCTTTCATTAAGCTGCAATAACAAAATCGAAACAAAAAATATTACTTTAGTGCAAATCAACAAAATTTGAAGAAACATCAAAACACTCAAAAATCAACAAACACTAAGAAATCGAGAGATAGAGAGAGAGGTTATTGCTGGGAAATGCTACAAATTTTAAATCAAACAGACAGTGAATCCTCACCCCCCCTCGCCTCCTACCAAAACCCTAGGCGCCGCTAATAACCACCCACAGTTTCGCGCATCCACAAATGCAAAAAATTATAGAAATAAATCTGTAAATATAAAAACAACGAAATTACTATCGAAATATAGATCTCGACGAGAGGAATCCAACGGTGGGTAGCCCGTCAAATTTCGACTGGTGGAACACAAAATACACCTCCGGCAAGACCACCGTCGTCGAATGAAAAAAAATTGCAGAAACAGATCTACGCTCCAAACTGAATGAAATCACCACCAAAAGAAAGAGCTCGACGAGAGGAATCCAACGGTAGTTAAACCATCGAATTCCGACCACCGGAGAGAGAGTTATGACTCCGTGAAGCAATTTCGTCGGTGGGAGGTTTGTGGAGGCGGGATTTTGAATTTGGGAGAAGGAGAGAGAGAGAGAGACCGAAATGTGAGTGGGTATGGTTTAAAACTGATTTTAAAAGGGTATTATAGGTACTTCAGGGTGGTCCAGGGGGGTATGTCAAAATATTTTCGAAATGAGGGGGGTTTCCCTTAGAGTGTAATCAACTTGGTAGTTAGTTCTATATAATTTGGAAATGAGGGGGTCTACAAAATAATCCCTAATAAAATTAGGGTTTTGAACGTAGTTTTTTTTTGAGAAATGTTTTGAACGTAGTTAAGTGTATGTATTTTTAAGGTAATTTTTTGAACGTACAATTCGCCATATTCGTCAAGTGCGTGCACTACAGTTCACCGCAATCTATAGTCATTACAATCAAATAATTTTTTGAGTGACAATACTTGATACTCTTAGACAAAAAAAATCACTATCTTTGCTACTGATGGCATACAATTTATTATATGCATTGACAATGAAAAAGAATAACAAGAAGTTACTAATGACAACTTACAAAATGTAGTAATCTTATGTAAGTAGTGACAATTTTTTACATTATCACCATTAGGTGTCTCTAATACCATTTTCTCATGTAGTGCATTGAACATTATTGATTCAATACAATTTTTTTTTTTAATATTTTGTCACAACAATACTATTTTGTTACAATTAAAATTATTGATTCAATTTATTTAAATCAAGACCTATGTATTGCAAGTAAACATACATAGTTCAACAATATAATAAAATCCACATTTCTGGCCATGTGTCTTAAAATTAAAATAGTTCGACAAAAAATAAAGAATCCAAAATATGAGATAAATATTAGAGAATTTAATAGATGAGGTATAAAAGAGAAATTTGAAACTAAAAAAATACTAAACACCTCAAATAAAATTAATAAATAATTAAAATTAATTGACCGATATTATTCACCTGACCATTTTTTTAGCATATTACAAACCATTATTGACCAAATTTGAATTGGTTGATTGAATCCATTTGTCAACCATCATTAGGTGAAACTTGTCACATATGGTTATGCTAGTATGATTTACATATCTCGTATGATATCCAGTGCACCTATATGACAGAGTGGCTGCATGTTTATTCATTACAAAAAAAAAAAAGAATAAAAATAGATTGATTAATGGATAATTATCCGTAAAAAAATGGGGCTCTTTGAGAAAACCCTCCTTTATAATTTATTTTAATGGAGAGAGACTCAAAATATTTATTTCCATTTGAGAAAAACCCACACCCATTTTCAGCTATTATTTTTTGGAATTTTGTCCCGCCCGCCACATCATCACTGCGTCACGCGCTGGTTATCAGCGATTTTTTTATTAATATTACTCGACTAGGAAGAATAGTCGATTAAGGTAATTCTTTAAAAAAATTCAAATTTTTAAATTTTTTTTTTGTTTTTTTTAATTTTTTTTATCTATATCAGGTATATTAATCGACTATGAGATATAAGCATAGCCGATTAAGAATCTGGTACTAAAAATAACAAATTACAACTGCGAAAAACATCAAATCAACTATATTTTACAAAAACAAAAAATATACAAACATTATAATTGATTTATACAATTGGAATCAATAAACAAAAATTCCAAAATAAAAAATAAAAAATTGCAGTCGATCAACCTTAATCGACTACCAGAGCATAGTCGATTAGCATAATCGATTATTGAACATGTACATAGTCGATTAAGGTTCCAGCCTGCGCGAATTTCTCTACACGAGCCGTTCTCCGCCCGATCCACCAAAAAACCCTACATCTACCTCCCCATCGTCACCACACCGCCGCCACACCACACTATTCAACCAATCCTAACAAGAATAAAATAAATAATTCATACAAAAGACACAAATTAGCATTTCAATGTCCAAAAAAAAAAAAAAAAAAAAACCAGAAACAATTCAAGGTATTGTCAACCATTGTTGATCACTCCATAAACAATTTCTGAACACATGACAAAACCAACACTAAAAAAAAAAAAACATTCATTCATCGTCATCAATTGCAACGGTGATTTTCTCATGTCTCATCCTCGTAACCGTCAACCCACTGCGTCCTCGACGACGAGCGCCAGTCATCAGCTTCAACGTTGTCGGTGGAAACCACCGCCGCCAACTATAGATCCGTCACCACCCTTCACGCGGCGGTGGGAGGCGGTGACAAACACTCTTCAACCACCACCGCCACCGTCGAAGATGAGAAGATGAAAAAAAGGAGAAGAGAGAACGACAAATGAAATTGGTTAGGGTTTTGAAACGTAAAAATAAAATTTAATATTAATAAGGGTGATTTGAGAATTATTAAAATAATATTTGGATAGAATATTAACTAAGGGAATTTTCTCAAATTATTTTTGGAAAGAGGTGTTTCCTTATCTCATTTTCTTATATGAGGGAGTTCTTGCTATTATCTCTAAATCGAAAAATGAATTATTTGTGAGATAAAATCAACACATGGACAACCCTATCTACATTAAAAACATGTAGCTTTGGTCTCAATTACTCTCTAATAACATGAGAAAATATAAGAGTCACACTATTTGCACCTCGAAAATCTCTCAGACCACGATCGTAATTTTAATTTTATAATTAATTGAATTTGAAAAGTCTAATCCATCCTAATTTTCTTTTCCTTCTTCCTCCATCCATCATCTTTGCTTTCATTTTTTTTCCCTCATTAAAATCAATTCCATCCACCACATTTCATTGCAACTAAATTGGTTCCCTTCATTTAAGCCCTTCGACTTCAAATCTAGATTGTATTTAATTAATATGATTTTTTTTACTCAATTAATATTATTATAATCTTTTAATTTTCAAAAATTATATCTAAATAGTAACAGTTGCAGGCTTTGCATTGGTGTTCGTCACACCTAAACACCTAATGCTTCATTTTCTTGCCCCCAAACTTCTATAGATCTACTTCCTTCGCGAGCACTAAAACTGTTGATTGAAAATTACTACGAACATAAAACACTTATAGAGTAATTTTCATTAATGGCATTTTGTTAAAGAGACACATGATAAAACAAACATGGAGATTTCATTTGAGAATAAGAGATACACAAAAATTAATATGAGAAAAAATATTCTAAACTTTTTTACATCGGTCTAATGAGATACAAATGAAGGTGGTGGTGCATAGAAGAAAATAAGTTAAGGGTAGAATAGACTTCTTATATACAATTAAATTGAAAATTAAAATTATGGTGGTGGAGTTAAAAGTTTTTTTTGTTGAAAATAGCACGACTCAAATTACCGTAAATTTGACCGATTACTATCACTCGACACAAACACAGACACACACACACATACACATAAGGGCTACCTCTGAGTGACGGCCAAATTACAAAAATCCCCCTCATGTTTGGCTAATTACAGCCACCCATCAGATCTTATGAAAAAACCCCTCAAGAGCTAAATTTAGGAATGTTAAATCGTTAAAACCGAATCGAAATTTTGGTTCGCCAACATTTCATACCGTTTACTGATCTGAATATACGATTTAGTTCGATAAAATAACCAAATTACATAAATTTCATGAAAAAATATTTAAAATAAGGGGTAGTTGTAATTATCCAAACAAGAGCGTTTTGTTCATAATTTAGTCATACCTCAGGGGTGACCGTAATTTGCCCGATATATAAACATAGCCAAATAACATATTTTGGGTCAAATATTAAATAAAAAAAGAAAATCAAAGGCACTATAATTCATATCGAATATCCATATATATCGACCTCTATCCATTTGATATCACCCTGGTTTAATTCACTCAAGTCATCAATGTTTTATGTATTTATTTAATTTAATTAAATTAAATTTACGCCCTTTCAATTTACCCAGAATTAAATAATGGAATCAATGAATATATTAAATTCCGTAAGTCAGCCAAAGTAACAACTGTTATTACGGGGAAACTGCATTCTCTCCATTCCTTCCTTGGAAAATATTAAACCTATACAACTATGGTAATTTAATTAATTCCCCCCCATTTAAAATACCCCTCATTCAAACAACCAATCAAATTCCGCCCCTCACCACGTTCCTCCTCATAAACTCACCCCCCCCCCCCCAAACCCTCCCCCCAACCAACCACCACCAGTTTATTTATATATAAATTTTCATTTATAAAGATATTATATAATAAAAAAAATTAAAAAAAATCAAGAATGGCAAAGAAATGTGTTCTTGATATTCTTGTCACACTTCTTTTGTTCAATTGCATTTTACTAGCTGTTAATGGACATTCTTTACCACCTAAAATCTTTGATGTTGTCAAATACGGCGCCGTTTCCGATGGAAAAACCGATAACACTAAGGTTTTTTTTTTTTTTTTTTTTTTTTTTTTTTGAATTTCTTGATTAAATTTTCTGAACAAATGGTGATTTTATTTTTATATAATTTTTTTTAATTATTTTTTAATTTAGGCGTTTTTGAAGGCGTGGGATGAAGCATGTGGGTATAGTGGGAGGAGTAGGGTTTTTATCCCAAATGGAATATTCTTATTGGATTCAGTTTCGTTTGTGGGCCCATGCAGTGGTCCAATCTCTTTTTTGGTAAAAGGTACAATCAGAGCTCCGACGGACAGCCGCAGATTTTTTACGGATACTTGGATAGGTTTCCGGTACGTCAGTCGTTTGACGGTGAAAGGCGGCGGGATTTTCGACGGCCAAGGGCAGGCGGCGTGGCCTTTTAATGACTGCAAAACTAACGATCAGTGCAAGCCTCTTCCTACTGTGAGTTCAATTTATTTTTTTATATTTTCTTCTTAATTGAGATTAGTTTTTAATTAAATAAAAAAATAATAATTAAACTTTTTCCATCAAGGGATTAGGGTTTTTAGTGCATTTGTCAATCTTGAAAAGGATTTTTTTTTGGTTATAGCAATTAAATGTTCGAAAATCTAATACTTTTGTTTCGAGATTTATTATTTTTCGATTAGTATAGTATGGTGGGTACTCGTATGGAACCTTTCAACATCAATTTATGTTTAAGCATATTTTAGTATGTTGAATTTTTTTTTCGTTATATAGCAATTAAATGTTCGAAAATCTAATACTTCTGTTTCGAGATTTATTATTTTTCGATTAGTATAGTATGATGAGTACTTGTATGGAACCTTTCAACATCAATTTATATTTAAGCATATAAGCAATATTTTGAAAATCGGACTGGGCATTAACCTGAACAATCTACTGGGTCATGGTTAGACCAGTTCAATCAGGGTCCAACCGATTTTTTTATTTTTTTTATTTTGTAGCTATTTATACATGATTTTTATAATAAATGAATAAAACATATTCTCTTTCACACGCATTAAAATAATGTGTTAGGACAATATAAATCTTGGCTCCATTATGAAGTAAGATTATTTAGGAAAATATAAATTTGTAATCTTTGTTTTTTCCCTCAAAAATCCCATGAACATAGTGTTTAATATCAGAACCATGTAACTTGCAGTAAATTATACTTCTGAGTTAATCTTGAATTGAATTTCTTTTAAGTTTATATTAATTTTTTCGGAAAAAAAAAGAAAATATTAAGATTATTAAGGACAATTGTCATTTTTAATCTTTGGTTTTCCTCAAAAATCTCAAGAACTTAGTGTTTAATTTACAACCACTTTTGCACCAAATTATATATCTGAGTTAATCTTTAAATTGAATTTCATTATTTCATGTCAATTTTGTTTGAAAAGAATTATTTTTATTAATTTTTTAAATGATTTTGCTAACAAACAATTCTTATTACAAATGTGTAGACGCTCCGATTCGACTTCGTAAACAATTCGCGGGTCCTAAACCTCCATTCAATCAACAGCAAAAGCTCACACGTCAACATATTCGCATGCGGCAACTTCAACATAACCAACGTTCGTCTAACCGCTCCTTCCGACAGCCCTAATACAGACGGCATCCACATAGGCAGCTCGAGCCAAATCAAGATTACGCACGTCCGCATCAGCACCGGTGATGACTGTATATCCATGGTATCAGGTAGTCAAAACATAGAAATATACGACGTTTCTTGTGGGCCCGGCCATGGAATCAGCATCGGAAGCTTAGGTCGAAGCCACGAGCATGAATACGTGAAGGGTATAACGGTCAGAAACTGCAGTTTTATCGGCTCGGATAACGGTGTGAGGATCAAGACTTGGTCGCCTTCTCTTTATAGCGAGGCTTCGGATATGACCTTTCAAGATATTTTCATGCAAAACCCTAAAAACCCTATTGTTATTGATCAGCAGTATTGTCCTTCATCCCATTGCTTAATGAAGGTAACTTCGGAGTTCTAATTAGCTTTCGGTTTTTTTACCCCTCGATAAAGAAATTGAGTTTATTGCATTTAGGACCCCTATGCTGTTTTATTGAATTAGTAACGAACTCCTCGTGTTATAAATATTAGCAGAAACCCCATTCTTGAGCATTTTTTTGAAGCTAATTTAAATTATCTTTCGTTTTTTTTCCTCGATAAAGAAATTGAGTTTATTGCATTTAGGACCCCTATGTTTTATTGAATTAGTAACGAACTCCCCGTGTTATAAATATTAGCAGAAACCCCATTCTTGAGCATTTTTTTAAGCTAATTTAAATTAGCTTTTGTTTTTTTTTTCCTCGATAAAGAAATTGAGTTTATTGCATTTAGGACCCCTATGTTTTATTGAATTACTAACGAACTCCCCGTGTTATAAATATTAGCAGAAACCTCATTCTTGAGCACTTTTTTTAAGCACATTTAAATTATGCGGGTTTTCGCTCTATTAATGATAATTTTTTTTTTTGGGGTTTTTGCAGAGTGAGTCAAGATCGGCTGTGCAGATAAAAGATGTGACGTTCAGTAACATTTGGGGGATTTCGAGTACTAAAGTTGCACTCGATTTACAATGTAGTGGAACTTTACCTTGTCGGAATGTGAAGCTTATAGACATTAACTTGTCTTACAACGGTCCCGGAGGACAAGCGATTTCTCAATGTTCAAACGTAATCGGTTCTTCTCATGGGAAGCTCGTTCCGTCTGGTTGTTTATAGTTTAATATTGTTTTTGTATCTTGCTATTGGTATTTTTGGTTTTAACGGTTATTTTTAGTCCGTACGTGACTTCGATTTGCAGCCATGATGTATTTAGTTTTGTGGCATGAGCAACGATCCTCTTTTGTTTTAGAAATTGAAAAATTTTTGTACTTAAATTGCCATTCTCTCTTCAATTTCGAAACGGAATAAGTGATATTTTGTTTAAGTGAAACTCGAATCTCGACTTTGTACAAAGCTTATTGTTTTTTGTTTTTTGTTTTTTTTTTCCTATTTATCTATATTTCATTGTCTATAGTTCCATAAATAATGAGGATGGTGATTAATTCCTTTAGCAGTTGGGTTGATCTCTCTTGCAATTGCCCTAGGTGTACAATGTGAGACTTTAGTTTGATTGTTTAGTAGTGTAGGGATTCAATCCCACATTGGGTGAATAAGAATAGTAAAGTATAGATGAATAATATAGATAGATAGGTGTTGTGTTTGAGAAAATTACTTACCTGGACGGGTAGATGAGTGATCATTAAGGCTCATGGACTAGATTGGCGACCTCCATTGCACTTTGGAGGGGCGCTCGTCTAAGGTCGGCCCAAGTGGTCGAGCCTACGTCATAATTTATGATAGAGGGGGCATGCGTTCGCGCGACCCCCACCCAATTCGTAGTTCAATATTTGCGGTTGATCTTTGATTCCTCTATTTTTAAGCCCCACCTGTGTTTTTTCGAGGTAAATTGGTTATTTATTTTTTTGGATTAATTTCATTTAGACCTCATTCTAGATAGTGAAAATTGAAGATCACCCATAGTTTTAACAAAAAAATCTTTAAAATGGCGAAAAAACATAGGAAACATAGACAAATAACCAAACTAAATAAGATGAATCTCAAGTCTCAACACAAATCCCACAAATCGAGCCTAAATCATATAAATCTCACTCAAACATACAACATAGGCATGAATCGACAAAAATAACAATGCCCGGTCCAAATTGCTCAAATTCCACCCATAAATCGCCCTTCAATCTCTTGTGAACACATAATCAACCACAATTGGTGTTTAATCGTGAAGCAACGCGGTATCCATTTGAAATCACGCTCAAAACAAGCAAATTCAACTCTTACGCGATATTTAGATTATTACTTGACACATCGTCTAACTCAAATAAATTATAAGGGCATTTCAGTCCAGAAAAACTCAGAATAGTTAGCTTCGGTCAAAATGATAAAATAAGGATTCACTTATTTTTTTATGACATCATCAATCTCCGTCCAAAAAAATGGACGGATGGGCCAGTGGAGTAAGCCGAGCCATCTAAACATGGGAGGTTTCGGAAAATAACTCTATGTAGAAGGGACTATGTATAAGGGGTCCGAGTGAAGTTAACCCCTTTTTTTTTCACGTAGGCGACAAGTAAACAAGTAGATGGATAAACAAAAGGCAAACATAAACTCCAATCTCTTGCAATGTTTCTAGTAGTCTAAATGAAAACACTCAAAACTCTGTTCTTACAACTTACAAGACAAATAATATACAACATGAAGAAAATAGGCAAATTCAACAAACTAGCAAGTATAACTATAAACGGTAAGGAAAATCCTTGAGAACTTAAGTACAACACAAAGGATATGAAAGATTAATCTTGCAAATAACTATAATTGAAAAGAAATGACACAAAAATGAATTCCTATTACTCGTATGTTTCCGTATTTGTCTTCGCATTAAAAAGAATCTTCACCGTCCTCCGTTGATGTGCAAGTTCTATGTTAGCGAAATTAAGCTACTTCCTCAATAATTTGACCCTATAAACCTATAAAAACAATCTTATTAAAGAATTAATAGGGGCAGTTTTTACTAGGGGCAGTTTCGTCATTTCCTTGAAGTCAACATCCAAATTTGATAAAAGTGGTTGTGTGCTATATAAAACACATTATAGGGAGATATTTGCTAATTATTTTAACACAAGGTGTTTTATGGCAATTCGAAATTACACAGGGGGTATATGCTATTAACTCTTAATAGTTGTGGTGGATCTTTGAATTCCCTATTTTTAAGGCGATTGTTTCTTCCCGGTAAACTTGTTATTTGTTTTGGTTAATTTTATTTGACCTCTTCCTTATTAAATAGTTGAACTGAAGACCAAATGCTCTCTAACTTAATTTTTTTCCATGCACTCCCATGGGCTCCTTCAACCTTATAATTGGTGATAAATACTGAGTGGGTCTTCTGCTGTCATTTATCTCTTTATTTATTTTTCTAAAACCCCTAAAAGTAAACTAGCGGGGAAATATATTATAAAATACAAAAAATGACACATGGCAGCAGAAGACTCACCCGGTGCTTATCACTGGATGTAGGGTCGAAGAAGTCCTCTCCCATGTTAGATGTTCCGCTAATAAATAACCAACGAAGCGTGTGAAATGTCACTTTAACCGTACTTTTACAAAAAAAATGAATCTTTAAAAAAGGCGGAATAAAAAAGGAAAATTAGATAAGTATGAAATGACTAGTGTAACTTTACTCACTTAAAGTAACAAAACAATCATAATACAGTAGAACCTCGATAAATTAATACCCGTAACTTGCTTAAATTATATATTTTCTATGTTCCGACTTAGTGACAACGTGTTAAATTAATAATTCGCTAAGTTTATAAGATAATACACATTAAAAATTTTTAAGAAGCACCATATAATATATAAATTAATAATGCATAAAAATAATTATGAAGTTACATAATACAACACAATACATATTTTATAGATCCACGAATGCGTGATAAAATATAATTTAATTGTCATTTGTTTTTCGTTGAAGTTCATGTCACCGTCAATATCGTCCCCCACTTTTATTAACATGGTTAAAAGTTTTGGTATGATTTTCTCATAACTCAATTTAAAATTGTTCAATAGCATTATTACTTTAAGAACTTTTATTTGGGCAACAGGCTCTGCAGTGCATTGAACTAATAATACAATGAACTAATAATACAATGAATAATATATACGTAAACAAAAAAAAATTATTTATTGAAAATAATAGTAAAAAGTAATTTCATAAATTAATAATTTATTAAGTAATATATAAATTAATAATTATTAATTTATCGATAAGTTAATATTTCGCTAAATTAATAGAATTTTAATGGTACCAACTGTATAAATTTATAGAGATTTACTTTGATTCCAATTGAGTCACAACCATACAAAATAGGTTGAGTTTCACTTGAATCTAGTCCCAACCCAAATCCCACAAAATCGAGCCTAACTCATATATATCGCGTTCAAACATACAATATCAGGTTTGAGTATTTTTTTTTTCATGTAAGAGAAAACTAAACAAGAAAAATAGAGCTATAAACAAAAGGCAAATATTAACCCTAATGTAGTGCAACACTTTCAAATAGTCTTAACCAAACGTGAAATAAAGCTCAATCATGTAATCAATTTCACATATCTTCTTACCAACTAAACGACAATATAGTTAACAAATTTTACCATGCCTCGAAACCCAATTCAAATTACAAAAATAAATACTCAATGTTTTGAGACATTGAATTTGAATTCGTCTAAACCAACAAGATTAAAACAATTAACCAACTCTCCCTATGAAAAAAGATACATGATCTTGCCTAATAGAGTTATGCCTCGTTTGCTTACCTTTCAGTAAGATGGTTGGTCACTAAAAGTAATTAATATTGTATTAAATTTGTCAAATTCTGGTATTAATAAATGTGAATTATTTCTAAAAAGTTTATTAATTAATAAAATTAAGATATTGTTTTAAGGACAAAATTATTTTTTCCCTTTTGGTCATCCCTAAAAATATAATCGCATGGTGGAGGAATTCTACGTACAACTACTAATTTAACGAAATATTAATATTTAATTGTGAGTTTTAAGGTTAGTAGAAGTTTTGACTAAACACGAATCTTATCATGCAAATATCTTATTAGCTCATATTATTTAGAGGGTGTTTGGCTACACTTATAAGATGTTAAAAGGAGTTTATAAGATGTTTTAGAGATTATAAGCTCTTTCAAAGTATTTAGTAATTTTTTTTTTCTAAAAATAAGTTGTTGCAGAGCAAATAAGATCTTTTAAAAAAAATACATCTACCCCACATTTTCATTTAAGATCTTATAATGAGTAAAAAATAGGAAATAAGCTGATTATCCAAACACTCTAAAAATTAAGAGGGTGTTTGGCTAAGCTTATAAGATGTTTTAGAGTGTATTAGCTCTTCCAAAGTGTTTGGTAATTTTTTAAAAAATATTTTAATATTTTTAAATAAGCTATTGGAGAACAAATAAGATCTTTTTAATGAGTAAAAATAGGAAATACGGTCATTATCCAAACACTCTAAAAATTACTCCTAAAATAAGGTGTAACAGCTTATCAGCTCTTAAAACATCTTATCAGACGTAAAAGTTTATCAACTGTTTAAAATAAGCTTAGCCAAAGACCCTAGTCAATAGAACTTGCCTCCTTCGCTATCTCGTTTGTAACAATTTTGAATAAAAACAAGGGAACATCTAAAACAAATACCGTTTATTTCTCACTTCAATACTACCAACATAAAAATTGCCAAAAAAAAAATATATTACCAACATAAAAAATAGAAAATAAATAGGTAATAACATTAATACCCTTAATAAAATTAATATCACAACAAATTTTATGTGTAGTATTAATTTTCATTAAGAGTAATAATGTCATTACCTATTTATTTTCTATTTATTTTTATTTTTTATGTTGGTGGTATTGAAGTGAGAAATAAACCGTATTTGTTTTAGCTGCTCCCTAAAAACAATCTTCATCTTCCATCCATTGACGTGCAAGTAGTTCGTCGTTGTGAATTACATCCTCGTTTCTGATAATACACATTGAAGAACTCCCGGCCAACGAAAAGACTCAAAACTCATGATCACAGCAAACAAATAACCCTATGTGATCATAGAAAATTGTTGAAAAAACATTTGCCGTTTTTCTCGTTTTAATTTTCAAAGTTTACGTATTCAATTTTATTTTTATAACTCGCGCTTGAATTTTCATAACTATGATGAGATTTTTCATAGAAATCGTGTACTTAAAAATAATCACCACTTCATCTTCAATCTCGAGACGAAATTCGTGATATTTTGGCTCGATGAGTACGCGATATAACACCATATGTGTGCAATATAATTAGCACGAAGATTTATCAGTTTTTATTTATGTTCAGAAATCCATTTTGAGAAACAGTACAACTTTATAGTTTCTACAAACCATAGCTACTATATATATATATATATATATATATATATCGATTTCGATTC